GACTGTCATGCCAGCTTCCTGTTTTTCTAATTTTGATTGTTCATCAAAACGTGCAACTATTTCATTCATATATATATTGGTGGATTAGACAAAAAGTATAAAAAAAATTTTTTTGTTTATCTATTGTATTCATGTACTATGTGGATTATGTAATCGCCAGTTTTTTGTTCTTGATTAATCCAATATTGTATGTAATATGTTCTAATCAGTCTAGTAAATATCATATTGTGGACAGAAATACAGAAATTACTTATATGTAAAATCCATATCAATGATTGTTCACATGTTACGCCATTATGTTTCCTTGATTTTTAAAGCGTTCTCTCCTTCTATGCTCTCACTTGCCATTTCTCCGAGACTTCTCTTCTCCTCTCCTCTGACAACGTCATTTGAATCATTTTTTAATACTTTTTGGAGCATCTATTACAAGTGTTCTGTGAGAGTGAGTCTTCAGTTCGGCCACAACCTTGCAAATTATTTATTAGCCTCCTATGTTTATTGGATTTTATGTTTTTTTGGCATTTTGAAATTCAATCTACATTCACAAAAGAAATACAAATAACGGTAATGCCGCCAATTTTTGGCAAATACATATACCTTTTCATTTCTCACATCCTTGTGCAAAATAGCATATGCACTCAAAAATAAATTGTACAATTACTTATTTCGGTGCATACATAAGATATGTAAGCTTTTTGAGTAAGTACTATTATAGGTTATTTAGCGAGAAAAACCGTAATCGATTTTCAAAGCTGTGCACTTAGTATCTCGTTCAAGTATCGTAACATAGCTTTTCTGCAATGAGAAATAAAGTAGACAACTTCAATTCGATTACAGATTTAGTTTTCTCGATCTCAAAAACCGTCGATCAAACTTTAAACGATATGATTTATTTTAAAAAATATCCTTTCCTTAATAATCTTATAGATTCTCTGATAGCTGATAACGAACAACGTTTCCGTTACACGTCACTGGGTAACTAGTAACGGAACATTCGTTTCTCAGCTCTAATATCGACTATTACGATTAAGTAGAACGATCTTCTGCATCACTCAAATGACAACAAAGAGTTCTTTTGAGATGTCCTCAAAAACTTACCCAAGAAAAAACATCTGGTTTCAATGGCTATTCCTTTTGATGTGCCATTTTCTCTGGAAGCAAGTTCAAATATGTTATGTCAGTTTTAACAATGAAATTTTGAATGAATAAGTAAAGTATGAAAATATATTCATATCTATATTATTTACTTCGATGTACAGATTCGTCTATTAGTACTTAGCTCATTAAATAAATATTCTTGTTTTCAATAACATTGAATTGATAGGAAAACATGAATATTATTGATATTTACGAAAAATAATTGAAACAATTACAAACAGTAGTGTCAAATTTGAAAGGTGAATTCAACTATTCAAGTTAATTCATAGAATCCACCAATGATACACTTCACTATGTACGCAGAAACGTGTATGAGTCGCAGTTCTTCGAGGGGAGCTGGCAGCTCCACGCCGCGACGCTGATATAAAAGGTTAGTTACGCGGGCAAAAAGTTTTTTCCTGAGTTGGTTCTGCTTTCAGGGGAATTTGCCTTTATCTACTCCTCCCATATTCTCTTTCTCCCCCCCCCCCCCCCACTTATAATGTCTCTTTCAGTCGCCCTCCCTCCCTATTTCTCTCGAATAGTTGAATACTTCAATTCAACTTTCAAGTTTGACATGTATGCACAAACGCGTCATTCACTTCTGAGTCTAATCCTGGGATTACTTGTCTTCGATTATCACGTATACGTTTTCTGCTTTTCTTTTTAGTTCCTCGTAAATTAGATGTATTCAAATTTCCAGTCTTTTTTTTTTTGCCATTGGATTAAGATTACAAAAAATTGATATTATCATCTTCAATATCATATAGTTCTTCTTCAGATGGACTATCATTACCAGCTCGTTGGTGTCCTATATTATTCAGTAATCCTTTCTGATCATCTTTTGATTCTTCACCATTATATCCGTCATAAAAATCAATGACAACGCCCGATTCATCATTAACATTTATTGATGGATCATTGATATTAATATTATCTGGAATTTCATGCAATTGCTTTAATTCACGAGCTTCATCGGCTATAAAAAAGAAACAACATAGAAAATTGATAGTTTTCATGAAATGATAATAATAATAAAACTTATTTCTTACCATGATATTTCATAATAACATCTGCTCTATAATCTTGATAATCTCGAAGTCCAATAAGAATGACATCACCTTGATTAATCCATTGTTTTTTGTGTAGTTTACCACGAATATGAGATAATCGTTTTTTACCACCGGTGCTGTCAAAACACAATGCTTCTAAATATCCATTACCCAAAATACGATCTACTTGTGCATAAGATTGTCCATCTTCTTTAAGTATTAATTCACGTTTGGTATCGTCGTTTTCATTTTTACCACGACGACACTTGTTACCACCTTTTCCTTTATTTTTTGGCATTTTATTTTTAAAATTTAAAATGTTGAATTATAAAAAAAGAAATCAACTATATATCGAATGACAACTAGAGCAAACTTGATATATAGAGGATGAAGAAAAAAGTGATGTAAGATTTCGTAATTAACCATGGGAGAGAGGAAAAATACAGAAAAATTCATAAATAACACTTAAAACAACAAAAGAAGTAAGAATTTCGTAAATCTACCATTCATACATAGATGACTCCCAGATGTAATATATGTCAATAAATACTTGAAAAAATTGATGCCGTAATAACTTTTGCAAGAACGATATATGTTGTCAAATAGAGTATTCGAGTGTATTTCTGTTTATAATCTGAATGTTTTGCTCAGATTCTAAGATGAAGATCAAACATTTTTTCTTATCTCACTGACTATGACAAAAATATCAGGATAGCAAAAAGACGCTTGATTCGAAGTACGCGAAGGAGTCATCCTTTCTCTAGTTCTATTGATGTCCCAACTTGCTGCATGGTCCTGATCAGTCATAATACTAGACTCGAACAATTTATTTTCAAAGTTTTTTACTATTAAAAAGCAAATCAATGCATCTCTGGCGTCTTTGAACTTCATTATTTGAACCGTATATCTTCTGCTCGAAATTTTATTCAATTGAATGGAATTTAGATCGAATTGAACTGATTAGAATGAATATTATTATTGTCACAGTGATCGCTACTTCTATTCATATCCATTTCTCTCAAAATCATGATTAAAAGTCATTGTGTAATATAGTCAATTCACATATCTTAAAATACAGTATTTCCAAAAATTTTCACTACCAGATAAAAAAAGTACTTAAAATGTAATCCTTTCGTCTTATTCATTTGATCACATATAGAGCATGTTGAACTCTGATCGCAAGGACTAATCAGAATTTGATCGGTCTTCATGTGGAGGTGCCAGAAAGTCAATATAGAGTTTTTCTTCCGACGACGATATGTCAACATGCAAAGCAAATCTTATGATGTTAGACTTCTTATTCGATAGTTTAGTACTGCCTCTATCGCGAATAAAAAATACCATATCAAACGGGTTTAGTTTGCCTGGTTTATGAAGTAATCTTGGAGTTATTATCTCTACATGAAAATCGATGGAAATCCACTGAAAAGCAACCGATATCTTCATGTAATTGTAACCATTTGCTTTGGAGTCTTCTTCGATAATTGCCTTGGTCTAATCAACTGTTTCTTGAAAACTTCATGACTGCAGTCATTAATGAAGAAGCAATCCATGCTGAGACCGTTCCAGACAATGAAGGCTTCTCCCGTCTCATGATTACAGTGGATTAAAGTACCCTATCGGCGACACAATATAGACGTACGAACCTTAATCTCTTAATGAGAAAATGTAGGTTAACATACTTAAATAATGAAAAATTAGAAAAATATCAAAAAATCTTTTTTTTGGTTCCTAAGGAAAAATTAGTATTTTTATCGTAAATTCTTTGCATTAAGGCCTATTGATCTTGGGTTGCTGCTGGCAATCAGGATTTATTGAACTCTATTTATAGTCAACATATTAGGCAGAAAGATCGAATTTTATGTGCTTTTTTTTTCTAGGTAGTAGAACTTTTTGCAATTACTGTTACATCCTTGCAGATGCACCTATCAAGATCCATAAGAAATAAGACGACGTTATTTCCTTATTGTTTTCAATCGAGCTGGCAAATTCAATGTAATTTTATTAAAACAAAAATCTTGATTGAGTGTGAAACATATAAAAGATATTCGATGAAAAAATCATAGAAAGCTTCAACAATCTAAAGAATAATTTTGTATTTATTGTCTTGTGCACGACATATTATTTTTCGTTTGTCGGATTATTATAAAAGATGATAATATTCTATTATTCATAAGTTTAATGTTCACTTATTGTTTAGCATTCTATAAAATGTAAGATACTGTTACAATTTATTGAACAAAATAAATAAGATATCTGTTTGAAATATTTATTATAGAAAATCATTGTTTTTTAGACGTGATCTTATCCTTTAGATAAGATGAAATACGATCGAAATAAGTACATTAATAAGAAGAATACAATGGCATGTGTAGGCGAAGTCATCATCATAGATAGTAAAACAATTCTAGTTTACAGCAGACTAAAAACTACCAATGATTCTTATTAAAGATATATTTCTACATTCATTTATTTCTATGCTTTCAAATTGATAAAAAGGTTTCTACGGTTTGATGGGCAAATGTGAAAAATCTAGTGTCGTATTACGTTCTAGTGATCAAAACTTAGACAAAGATTTTCACCAAAGATGTAGCAGGATTTATTATTTTCGATATTTTGTTACTTTCTCGTTTCTATTATACTAGTAACGTTTTGATTAATGATCAACAAAAATACGTCAAAATTAAACCCAATCTAGAGAAAATAAAAAGTGCTTAGAACTAAAAACATTACTAATCATGATGGGAAAAATCTCTGCCAGTTCACTTTTTTTTTTAAATAAAATCAGAGAAGATACTGAGCCCCCCCCCCCCCCCTCACAGCCCCTCCCAGCTCAAAATCCTGGCTCCGCCACTATTTAGTNATTAAAAACATTACTAATAATGATGGGGAAAATTTTTGGCAGTTCAATTTTTTTTTAAATAAAATCAGAGAAGATACTGAGCCCCCCCCCCCCCAGCCCCTCCCAGCTCAAAATCCTGGCTCCACCACTATTTAGTCAGTATTGTATTTTACACAACATTACTGTTGTTATATTGTTTCAAAATCTTTTATACTACAAGTAGAATAGAAAAGCGAAGCAAATCTCTAATGTTCAATAAAGAACATAGCAGCCGCATAAACTACAAACGTGCTTCAAGAATTAATATTTAAATTAAGTAAGCCACATGGTTCATTATATTGTCAAAGGTGTGGTGAATCCTTTGATTATTTCTCTTTTTCATCAACTTGCTAATAGAAAAATAGGTCACATTTATTCGAAAAAAACATAGTTTATGATTACAACTTCTGTTATCTTTTCATAGTTTTATGCAGAAGTAAAATGTGAAATTAATGATGTAAAATTATCTAAATCAACTATCCGAAATAAACTTTCTTATGATACTAATGATATGGAAATAGTATAAGGTACCGCAGTGATAAAAACCAAAATCATTCAGATTTAACATGACAATATTGGATTTGATATGAAAACTGTTGATATAGAAAACATCATTTGTACAAATCAACAATACATTGAAGACAGAAGTTCGAAAGATATTTTGATTATAGTACACAGTATTGTAGATATTGACAAATATATGGGAACATTAATAGTTGCTATGATATTACATCTTATAAACTAAATTTTAGAATATAGATGAGGATAGTGAATAAGAAGTAACCATATTTAATCAATATAATTGTATTCATGTTGATTTTAAATTATCCATCGGACATGCTTTTTTTTGTGCTGATCTAGGTCATTGCTAATAAATGAGAGTGATTGTTGTTGTTTTGTTTGGTATGCTTTTTTCTTTTTGTTATTGTTATTAAACATTATTACTTTTCTTTACATTGATTTTTGTTGAGTTAAAATTTTTATCTTTTTTGAAGACAAAAAAAATAGAAGCCTAAAAGTACTAAATCATTTTCGTTTTGTTAAACAATTCTTGTTGTTCTACGTGCTTATTTGAAGATCTATGTTTTTCTTATGAATGTATATTTGTAAATTTATGTACATAGAGCTGCTTTTAATTTCAACAGTCATATATTGATTTGTTTTATTTACAATTGAGTTATATGCGTCATAGATTATTAACAAAAAAAAACCATAATGAATAAATTATGTTCATATCAAATTATGTACTTTCATTTATATGGAAAAAAACTATTAGTGCATTCTCTGTGAAATCAAAATATGAAACATGATATAACTACTTTTACTATATTGAAAGTAGTGTTTTACAAATCGATTAAGAATGCTGTTGGATGTGCTCT